ACGAGGAGTGGCTGAGGGAGCTGGGGTTGTTTAGCCTGGAGAAGAGGAGGCTGAGGGGAGACCATATCACTCTCTACAACTACCTGAAAGGAGGCTGCAGTGAAGCTGGGGTCGGCCTCTTCTCACAGACAACTAGTGATAGGACGAGGGCATAGTCTCAAACTGCGCCAGGGGAGGTTCAGGCTGGAAATTAGGAGGCCCTTCTTCACAGAAGGGGTCATTAGGCATTCGAATGGGCTGCTCAGGGAGGTGATGGAGTCACCATCCCTGGGGTGTTTAAGAGAAGACTGGACATGGCACTTAGTGCCATGGTCTAGATGACATGGTGGTGTTAGGGCAAAGGTTGGACTAGATGATCCCAGAGGTCTCTTCCAACCAAATTGATTCTGTGTGATTGTGTGATCTAATGTAAGTGATGTTTGAATATTCATACTTTGAGAGTAAATCATTTGCATATAAGACTGAGCCTCACAAAACTTAGTGACTTTTCCAAGTGTTAATTAATTTCACTTACTTGCATATGTATTTGAGGAGGTTGTAGTTGGCTTGGGGCAAATTCTTCACCTGTTTAACCAGTTCCTGGGTACCCTGAGGGATAGCAAAAACAAGGAGTTATTAATATAAATGATTCAAAGCAGATGTGACTTCGACTCGGTACTACAAAGTCCTCTTTCCAGAGTCAAAACCACGAACAACAGATGATAACACACGGAGGTTTTGCTTTAAAAAAAGGTGTCAACCAGTGTGTTGTGCCTTACCAAAAACCCAATGTCCAAAACTTGATTTAGTTCTCAAAAATCAGTGGAAATCCTCCTATCAGCTTTAACAGTTGATGTAGAAGCCTTCAATTAGTGAGGCCTGCTAGTCTTCAAAGTCTGCCCACTGGCATTGGTATAAATGTACCAGCAAATGGGCCTTTTCAGCACCTGGCCTATTTGAAACTTTGAGGCACTGAGTGTAGTATAAATACATTGCAGTAACAATCAACTGAGGAGAGTTTTTTCTTAAAAAAGCTAAAGGACATTCCAATTCAACTACCTCCTTTTTCAGTTACTTACATGTGCAATCATTCTAAGCAGCGACATACTTCCTCATAAAATTTCATCTTTACATTAAAACATAAGATGAGACATTACTGGAAGAATGACTTAAAACCCTGAAGCTACTTAAATCATTTAATGGAAACCTCTGACTCAGAAGGCTATTGTCCTTCCACAGTCCCGAAGCACCATTTGCTTGTTCCTGTCAATGCTGCAGTTGCCCTGGAGATTTGCTTATTTTTTGAGACAACTGAACTTTTTTGTGGGAAAGTAGATACCCAAGCACATTTGGGAAGAGTGATAGCTGCTAACTAATGATGGAGAAATTCCAGAAGCAGCTGATTCCAAGTCAAAGAAGTGCAGTTAGACATTCATTTCAAACTTCCATAAATTTATTAAGGACTGTTAGGGAGGCAATTCTCTTGGCCAGCCTCTTGCAAGATCTGATTTCTCTGGTCCAGACAAGTCAGCAAGATCCAGGCAGCAGTCTGTACTCCTGCCTCCATCCTTAACATCCTGAAGGTATAGACAGTTTTTTATTCTATATGTCCCAGTACAAAAAAAGTCCTCTAATAAAAAAAAGAAATTTCACAGAATCAGAGAATGGTTGGGGTTGGAAGGGACCTCTGGAGATCATCTAGGCCAACCCCACTGCCAAAGCAGGTTCACCTACAGCAAGTTGCACAGGATCACGTCCAGGTCGGCTTTGAGTATCTCCAGAGGAGGAGACTCCACAACCTCTCTGGGCAGCCTGTTCCAGCACTCTGCCACCCTCAAAGCATGGAAGTTCTTCCTCATATTCAGACAGAAATACCTGTGTTTCAGTTTGTGCCC